GTCCACGTCAAAAAACCGTCCTGGTCCACCGCCCGCGGCGTGGCTTCAACGTCGACGCCCGGCTCGTCGCCTGTCTGCTTCCTGCGTCCGGCCTGCTGCCCAGCCTTTGGGTGGCGTTGCCCGTCGCCCATTAGGTGCGTGTACCTGTGTGTGTTCATGTGCATGTGGGTGTGCCTCTCACTCTCTCTGGCGACTCGCCGACCACATTGGTGCCAGGTGCCAGGTGCCAGGTGCCAGGTGCCATCTGCCAACCGCCCCCCGGGCCGAGAGTCGCCTTTGTGTGATGGACCGTCATGCCCGCCCGCACGGCCAAAGGGGCATCACGCATCACACCCGCCCATACATACACTAACTGTACTGTCGACTTACCACTTACTTACACTGGTCTGGTCTTGACTGCTTTGGTTCGGAAGTCGGCGCTCGCTCGATCTCTCGCCCGCGTCCGCTCGCGCTCAAGCTGCTGTTCCTGCGCGTACCTTGCAGCAAGGGGGGGGGGGCTTCTCACCACCACTCGCGGAACCCCAAACTGGCCCCGGCGCCACCGTCCTACAACCCTTTGCATTTGTGTTTCGCCCGCCCCTCGTCGACTGACCAGTCCAGTCTGAATCCGCCAGCCCGCCAGTCCGCCAATCCCGCCCTAGTCCTAGTCGTCCTAGTCCCGCCTACCCACGTCCTCACGTCCTCCAAACCCTCCCCCTCCGCCGCCTGCTAAAGGCTGCCGTCGACCTGACCCAGCCGACCAACCCCAACTGGCCCAAAAGGAATACACAGGCCACACTGCAAGCCCTACAATTACTCCCTCGTCGCTGCCCGCCAACCATCCGCTCCTTCCACCCAATTGCCCCTCTCCACCAAACTCTGCCCGCGCCTTTGTACTCTACATACATACACAAAGCAAAGAAACAACCAACCCTCGCCCTTGCCCTCACCCCTCGCCCTCGCACTCATCCTCCTCTTCGTCCGTCATGACTCACCTGCCGATGAATGCGGCATCTCATGCGATGCGACACAACGTGAATCGCCCGGCCAAACAAGGCTAGGCCCACTGCAACCGCCCCCCCCTCTCCCCTCCAACCTCCAACCCCAACTGCTCATTCGGCAAGGCTGGTCTGCTCACGCCAGGCTGGGTGCATGCGTCAGCTATTTCTACCCACCTACATATGTACGGACAGCACTCGACACACCTGCGCTGCACTCTAGTCCCCACACACATACAACGTCGAACCACCTCCTGCGTCTCTGACTCTAGCCGAGTAGCACCGCGTGCACACGGCACTCGACTCTCAAGAGCGCACAGTAAGCAGAGCCGCAGAACTTCCACGCCACCAAAAGTCTAAACTACCCGCCCGCCCTCAGCAACAAACGTCTACGAGTACACCTGTCCCCTTACCTCCTCCCTCTCTCTTTCCCTCCCTACACCAACGCATTTGTGATGACAATCTCACCCTCCCCCGTCGTCTTGTCCCATGACTGAAGCGTGACGCTCCCCATGTCCTGAACAATGTAGTCTGCCCCAGCTTCCACAATCTGTTCTAGCGTATGTGACGTGTGGAGACCCACCACCACGAACCCTGCCGCTTTGCCTGACCGAATTCCTGCTGGCGCGTCCTCAAAGACAATGATGGAAGCCTCCTTTTTCTGCAGCTCCAGTTTCTCCGCGCCCATCTGATAGCACGTGGGATCCGGCTTGCCGTTGAGGACGTCTTCCGCCGTCACCAGGTTCTTGGGGTGTGCCAGCCTCATCACGTCCAGCCAACCCTGTACAAGCGGACATGTGCCGGACGTCACAATGCACCACGGAACACCCTGTTCCTCCAGCTTGTCCAGCAAGGCACGAGATCCGGGAATCTCAACGGCATCATGTCCGAATTCCTTGGGTACCAGTCCCTCGGCATGGCAAATGTCTGTTTCGTTTAGTTGCAAACATTGACAACATGGGTCCACCCTGGCACACTCACACTCCCAATTAGCCAGCTTCGGCTCATAGATCTTGAGCACGTCGATAGATCTCCGCCCGTGTGAAGTTGCCAGAATTACTTCGGGCGCAACTCCAATCTCCTTGCCAATCCTGGGCAATGCGCATGTCAGCCTCGGCCTCCCCCATCTGCTTCTCCCTACTGTAACCTACTTGTGCCAGTGTTTCTCGATTGCAACCGTCGAGTCGATAATCGTACCACTGTTATGCGCTTAGCCACCATTGCCGACACCCCACGAACCTCGTCACCTACTCCATGTCAAAGAGCTGCCCAGTCAGTACCTGTCAACATGCGGTCGGTGGTTCTTCTCACTCACCAAGCCATGGCATTTTATTGTCTGCGCCGGCGCCGAGAAGTTGGGCTTTGATACACTCATTGTTGCTAGCTTTTGTAATATCTCTTGCTGAGCCGAAAATGTTGCTGAATTCCAATTGACGGTGAAGGTAAACTACATATGTACGCTGTAAGACAACGCCCTACTGGTTAGCCACGTCGGGCATCCTATCCGATGTTTTTCCGATTGTCATGCAGCCAATCACAATGACGACTCCATGCGGCAATCTAGCTTACAAAAGTCACTGTTGTAAACCAAGTGGGTTTCTATGGAAAACCACAGATAGGAAACTTATCCGATGTGCGAATCGAATAACCACATATGCCTGATTTGTTTTTGCGTGCCTGCAATCATGTGACTACCATGCAACTTGTCGGCAGTGGGGGAGTGGTGGAGCCGCGCTAGGAGGGCGGCAGAGAGCGGCAGTATTTTCACCTGGCGAACTTTTTTGGAAGATGTCGAAATTTCGACCTTGACATCCAGACACAAGCCCAACAATCCACAATGAAGGTCGGAAGTAAGACACGCACCGGAGGACGCATACCGAGCAATATTGACAAAAAATACTAGAGCCGAAATCAAAGCGCGTACCCGTGCGCCTGCGCCACAAGATTGAAAAAGCGTCAGCGGCCAAGCAGAAGAAGGCAAGAAAGCTCGCAAAGAAGGTACGACACTTGCGCATCGCTACAGCACTCATCTAATTAATGCGCGCAGGATCCGACATGGCGAAGTAAGACCAAGAAGGAGCCTGGCATTCCCAATCTGTTCCCCTACAAAGACAAGATTTTGGCAGAGGCCGAGGAGCAGCGAAGGAATCGAGAAGAAGAAAATGCGCGCCGACGACAGCTGGCAAAGGAGCAGAAACTGAACGGCGCTGTTACTGAGGATGCCATGGAGGACGACGAGGAGTTTGAGCAGTTTGATGCCGAAGGCGACGAGCTACTCGCAGACGACAGCAGCGAGGATGAGGATTCGATGCAGGTGGTGCGTTTGCCCAGCTGTTCCGCAATGCGTCAGAATGCTAATACATATTAGGACAACAAACTGAATCCCATGGCTGCCCTTCTGGCTTCTGCGAAAGCACGCGCCGCTGAGTTTGAGAAAAAAGACAATGATGCAGACGCCATGGAAGATAGCGAGGAAGAGGATGATGATGATGAGAGCGGAGGAATCAGGGTCCGCAAAGACGCATCAAGAAAGCAGTTTGACAAGGTCTATAAGCAAGTCGTTGACTCTGCAGACGTTGTCCTGTACGTCCTTGATGCCAGGGATCCTATGGGAACGCGATCGAAAGAGGTGGAGCAGGCAGTCATGGCAGCGGACCGTTCAAGCAAGCGCCTGATATTCATCCTGAACAAGATTGATCTTGTCCCTCCGCCAGCGCTTAGAGCATGGCTCGTTCATCTCCGCCGATCCTTCCCCACCCTTCCGCTGCGCGCATCCAAGCCTGCACCCAACGCAAAGACCTTTGAGCACAAGGACCTCACTATGAAGGGTACATCGGAGACTCTTTTCAAGGCCCTCAAGACTTTTGCAGAGTCACGGCAGCTCAAGCGCTCAGTCAAGGTTGGAATTATCGGATATCCCAATGTGGGCAAGTCTTCGGTGATCAACGCCTTGACGTCAAGATTAGGAGGAAGATCTGCCGGTTGCCCAACTGGCGCCGAGGCTGGCGTCACTACCAGCTTACGAGAGGTCAAGCTTGACAACAAGCTCAAGCTGCTAGACTCCCCTGGTATTGTCTTCCCAAACACTGAAGGATCCAAGGAGAGCAAAGTACAGCAACAGGCACGACTGATTCTCTTGAATGCCGTCCCACCCAGGGAAATCGAAGACCCCATCCCAGCTGTAACACTCTTGTTGAAGAGGTTGTCGTCCTCGGAAGAATTGTTTGCAAAACTCATGGAGGTTTACGACCTGCCCCCGCTGCACACCATAGGCAACGACAGGACGACCGACTTTTTGGTTCAGGTAGCAAGGAAACGAGGTCGACTTGGCAAGGGTGGAATACCCAACATGCATGCTGCAGCACAGACTGTCATCAATGACTGGAGAGACGGTCGCATTCAAGGGTGGACAAGCCCGCCCAAGTACGTGCCCACCGAGACTGCAACGACAAAGACGGCTCCCGCGCAGAAGGGGGGACTTGTTGGTGACCAGAAGGAGATTGTCAAGGAATGGGCTGCCGAGTTCAAGCTGGAAGGTCTTTGGGGCGACGACTCCAACGACACTGCAGCACCAGAGGCCATGGAAATGTAAGCATGTTACCACGAGAGTCGACTGGCGAATTGGCGTTTGTATTTCACTGCAGTACTGGCTTTTCCCTCAGAAGAGGAATCAGGTCTCGACTAGATATCAAAATCATATCATGATAGCCACTTTACAACCGTGTAGCCTCCGATTGATGAAAACTTTGCCCAATCATCCACATTCTTCTGGGCCGCTACTGACCGAACCAAAGTGCGACATCGGCCACCAGACCGACGAAAAGCTCATTTGATGCTGTAGCTCCACGCCGATTGTGGTGCGCAAGACATGTTCGCTACCACAGCGGCGATCATCTGCCCCACACTAGGTGTCGGCTTTCGTCGGCTCAACCCCAGAGCTCATTCGATTCGAGCTTCACAGCTTGGGATACATAACGAGAAGCCCCAAACTTTTTGGCTAATTGACATTCCAAATCATCTACAATGGGTTCTGCAAAGGGTCTCCAGCCGCTTCGCTCTGCTACAAAGACATTGAACGCACTGCCCACAGCTTATGCTGGTGCGCAGGTTGCTTCACGACGATATGCGGGGACGCTTGCAAACTTCAAGATTCCCACTGTTAACAACGAGCCAAACGTAAGTTGAAGACATCGTGAGATCTCTGGAAGATGTTTGCTAACTAAGAATTCTAGCAACACTACGCTAAAGGCTCGGTCGACCGCCAGAAGCTTCAGGATGCGGTTGCACGCATGAAGAAGCAGGGTCCTGTAGAGGTCCCTCTTGCCGTAGGAGGAGAATATGTGAGATGGAGAATACTGACATGGCAATTTCATCTCACTGACAACTTGTAGATCAAAACCAATTCTATCCTCACTCAGAACAACCCCTCCTCCCACGCCGACGTCATTGCCAAGTACTCTAATGCCAGTCCAGCGGACGTCAAGAAGGCCATCGATGCCGCATTGGCAGCAAAGCCAGCATGGGAAGCGCTCCCCTTCGCCGATCGCGCTTCAGTGTTTCTCAAGGCGGCAGATCTCATTTCCACAAAGTACCGATATGAGATCATGGCAGCGACAATGGTGGGACAGGGAAAGAGTGCATGGCAAGCCGAGATTGATGCAGCAGCGGAGCTGTGTGACTTTCTGAGGTTCAATGTCAAGTACGCGGAAGAGACATATGGCCACCAGCCAGTCCACAACTCTCCCGGTGTATGGAAGTACGTGCAGTCGCTGTTTACAGTTGAAGAGCAAAGCTAACTGAAATAGCCGTGTTGAATATCGACCCCTCGAAGGCTTTGTCTACGCCGTATCCCCTTTCAACTTCACAGCTATTGGCGGTAACCTTCCTGCAGCCCCGGCTCTGATGGGCAACGTCGTTGTGTGGAAGCCATCGCCATCTGCAATTGCCTCCAACTGGCTTCTCTACCAGATTCTGATCGAGGCTGGTCTTCCACCAAACGTCATCCAGTGGGTCCCCGGTGACGCTGTAGAAGTCACCCAGGAGGTTCTCTCTCACAGGCAATTCGCATCCCTGCATTACACTGGCAGCACAGCAGTCTTCCGCCAGCTATACGGAAAGATTGCCAACGGTGTAGCCGAGGGCAAGTACCAAAGCTACCCCAGGATCGTCGGCGAGACCGGCGGCAAGAACTTTCATCTCATCCACAAGGACGCCGACATCCACAACGCAGCCATCCAAACCGTGCGCGGCGCCTTTGAGTACCAAGGCCAAAAATGCAGCGCCTGCTCCCGCCTCTACGTCCCCGAGTCTGCATGGCCCAAATTCAAGGATATCCTAATCAAGGAGGTCTCCGCCCTGAAAATCGGCGAACCCTCCGACTTCTCCAACTTCATCGGCCCCGTCATCCACGAAGCCTCATTCAAGAAACTCTCGGGCGTAATCGATGACGCCAAATCTGATCCCGAGCTCGAACTCGTCGTCGGTGGCAAATACGACAGCAGCAAAGGCTACTACATCCACCCTACCGTGTACCTCACCAAAAACCCCAACCACCCCCTCCTCTCCCGCGAACTCTTCGGCCCCATCCTCGTCGCCTACGTCTACGACGACGCCGCCCCGGACGCCTTCACCAATATCATCCGCCAAATCGACGAGACGTCCGAGTACGCTTTGACGGGCGCTGTGTTCGCAAAGGACCGCGAGACGATCAAGTTTGCAGCGGATAAGCTAAGGAATGCCGCGGGTAACTTTTATATCAATTGCAAGTGTACGGGGGCCGTTGTGGGCCAGCAGCCCTTTGGCGGGTCGAGGGCCAGTGGCACAAATGACAAGGCAGGAAGTGCGAATTTACTGGCGAGATTTGTAAATGTGAGGGCGGTTAAGGAGGAGTTTTTGCCCACGGAACGGGTCGAGTATCCTAGTAATGAGGTTTAGAATGGGATGTGTGAAGAAAAGTGAGAAAAAAAAACATAAAAAAAAGTTTTGTGTATTTGGAAAGAAGGCCGTAGTGGTTGTGGTGGTAGGAGAGAGAGAAGCTTTTTTCTCTCCTTTTTTTTGGGCGTTTTTTTGGGAGATGACATGAATACTTGGGTATGAGGGTTATGGATATGAAAGGTTATGAATTTAGGGCATAATCATCTATCGTTTTTTTTTGGTTTTTTTTTTCACAAAATATATCGAGGATCAAATCAAGTATGTAACATCATCAACATCTCTCTCTCTCTCTCTCTCTCTCTCTCTCGCTCCACTAACACTGTCAATCATACGGATTTGATGTATATCAATCAAATCTCTAGAACCACCTTTTTCGCCATACATACACACATACACATATACACATTCCAAAAAAAAACCCCCTTTCACGGCTACAAATCACGTGCAACCTCTTTCACACCACCACCACCGCACCCAAATCCCAAATCCCAAATCCCCAAGCCCTACCCTACCCACACACATGCCAACTTCCCTCGCACCACCACTCTTACCTCGGCAACCCCACTACCCTTCCCACACACACGCACATACACACACACACACACACATGACTCGCTCCACCGCACGTCCCCCCCCCTCCCATTCATCTTCCCTCATTTCTCATTTCTCATTTCGCAAATTCAGGGTTACAAGCATGAGTGCATATATGTATATATTTGTATGTATAAAATGCGAAACGGGGCAGATTGAACCTCTTTATACCCAGTAGGGATTGATGATTTTTTTTATTTTAATTTTTTTTAACTTACTTACATCTGGTGTGTAAGGTGAAAAATAAAATAAGATAGGGTGGAGCAGGAGAGTTTGGGGGGGGAGAAAGGATGTTTTGAGGGGTTGTAGATGAGAAGGGAAAAGAGGGGCGGTGTTTTGTTTCATGGTTGGTTGGTTGGTTACTTACTTACTTACCTAGTGTGCTACTTATGTGTAGCATGGTAAGTGCGGGCTGGGAGGGGAAATGTTGCTTGAGGGGAGGGAAGGGTGGATTGAGGTTGGAGATGGTTGGGCGGTGGTGACGGGGATATTTTTTGGGGGGGGGGGAGTTGAGGTTGGGTTGCAAAGGGGAAAGGCTCGATGCGAGAGAGGGAGCTGAGGGAGCGGAGCCAAGCCGGGAATCAACTACGGTTTTGTTTAGGGTTGTGGCGGTGACGGGAAGGTGCCTTTTAGGTTAGTTTTGCGGTTAGGGGAAAAGCTTGACTGGGCGAAGGGGTGGTGCCTGGTTTGTGCAGAGCCAAGACCCGAGTGGGAGGACATGAACTCTTTTTTTGTTTGTTTCCTATTTTGAAGGTTAGGTTTTGGGGTTGGGGTTTCCGGAGTTAAGAGGACGTTTGACGAGTAGTGGATTTTTTTGGGTTGGGCTGGAATTTGGGTGTTTGGGGCTAGGGGTGTTGGAGAAGAGATGAGATACAGGGGGTGGAGTGCTTGGACTTTTGTGGAATTGTGGACGTGCGGATATATGTAGGGAGGGACGGAGATATTGGGCTAGGGACTGTGGTCATGGTGTGTATCTGTGTATTTCTCTTATCTCTGTGGATGGACGGAGGGGTGATCCTAGCCATGTCTCCTCATCTCGTATTTCAGAAGTGGAGGTGTAATTGAGGAGAAGGCGTATATGCATACATACTATGTACACGTAGTCGTTTACGGACGAAAAGAGACAATGGTGTGGTGGATGTGTGACTAACATGATATTAGAAATCCAAACGACATACGTACGAAGCACATGTTGGGTCGGAGTCGGGACAAGAGGTTCAGTCCGATGGTGGCGTTAGAGTAGCGCGACCGGAGGCGGGTTCTGGCGTTAAACGCCCTACGCCCTATATCCGTTCTATGTCCAAACCAGTATGAACAGCGTAAGCTGGTCGAACTCCGAACTCCGCATTGAGTCGCAAGTTGCGAGTAATATAGTTCAGAGGCTGGAGCGCAAAGGGAGCTCCAACTTTTGGTATGCACCCAACTGGCTGGTTCAACTTGTTCCATTCACCTGGTGATTGATCAGCTACTCGGTCGCTTCCAAGAGATTCGTCCGCCAACGGTGTGAGATCTTCAGCGCACGCACGTACAAACCCGTTGCATGCGAAACGGCTGCTATGGATCATCCGCACCATGGTAGAACAAAGGCTGTCCGACCCTCCGACTCGACTCGTGACACCCCCCTCCCAGCGGAGATCCAGCATACATACGCGTCGCAACTCATGCACAGCGGAGCGCGCGAGAAGCGAGAGCGCGAGGGCGGGCAAAAGTGGAGCATGGAATTTCTCGTAACGTCCATCCCTCCGTGGCGCAAATCCCTGTGTGCCGCAATCGGCCAATCAGCTCCCAAGTTTTAGGAAGA